ACCTCAAACTCCTTCGTCTCAACTCAAAATTGTCGATTAAATGCCATACCATATGCATCCACCCGCTTTTTCCTCTGATTTTGAAGAGCCGACACGTCAGATGACAAAATGGGCCTGCTGATGACGTTGGGGAGACCTGCCGAATTTTCTAAATTTCCAGCGACGGCGCGTGGGCTACACTAGCCGGCAAGGCCGCCACTGGAGCAACGCGTGGTGGTCCCTCCAGCATCGGAATGGTCTGCAAGGAGCGCTGGTCAAGCGCGTCTGTCGGATCTGTAGGCGGATTCTGGTAGATCTGGGTTTGGGTCCCAGATTGCTTCATGCCGTCGCCGGATGTCCCCACGACGGTAGGACACTGCATCGGAACGAGCGGCGGCGCTAAGGTTCCCACCTAGGTGGGTAAATATGTGGCGTGGGGCCGGTAGGGTTAGGTTTTTCTGTCAATGTCTTCTCGCCGTCAACAACGTCGGCCGGAATGGGTGGTTGTTGGGTGGAGGGTGGCTGGGTAAGTGGTGGTTGGGTGGTTTTAGATTTTAGGGAAAGGGGCTCCATACTATTACATGAAAACAATTGAAAATGTCCATTCATTTATCTGCAGTCTGTATTGTACTCTGGGCAGTTCCCAAAACTGATTTCCTGCATTTAGCAGTCTCCTTTAACTGAATCATCAACTAAAATTAACTAATCTTATAATTTCTAGTAACACTTGCAAACTTAGCAGAGCAAACACGAAAAGGCTACTTGTACATCAACTTTAAGTGACAAAAGAGCAAGCCTTTTTATTGCTGGTTTTACGACAGAAGTTACAGTGGTTGTTTCGGTTTTTCCAAATTGCTTCTCATTTTTGTCTGTTGTCAGGACTGGGATAAAAAAGCATGATTAAACACTTGCTGCATTCATCCAGAGAAATGAATGAACCCACAAGCAAAAATGGAAAGCGTATTATCTTTCCTAATATGATCCTCGGCAAAAATTCGATACGTACAAACAAAAAATACGAGGAACGCATTCTTCTTTTTTCTTTCTTAGCATTTCCTTATTATAAACCATGTAGGTTATTTGGAAGAAACTCTGATTTTCATATTTTAACTGTAAAAGGTGTGTCCATATTCTTCGTTTCTTTTTCCTTTCTCCCATTTCCATATTTTTCCATTGAAACTGAGGCAAACATATCAGGTATGCTGTGGATGATAGAAGCACATTATGAAATTACTCGAAAGTATATCAAACTCACCAAGTCATGTGATGACCCTTTTAATTCAGATAAAATAGTTGCTGAATCTCCTCTGATAGGACAATTGAATACCTGAAGTATGCAAGAAGAGCATCAGAAAGTAACAAAGGCATAACAAGAAAGAGGAGAGCATATTAAGGCTCTCTCCAAATTTTGTGTATTCCAGAAAATTGCATTCTTTGAGTTAGATCTTTTACCGCAAAACCAGCAAAAGTAAGACCACTTTCCACCACTTCTCTCTCTAAGCTTCTTGCTTCACTAACCTTCAAACAGTAAATATAATTGTCATCAGCTTAAACAGGCATAAATGAAACAATTACGGGGAGAAATGAAGATACGCAGATAAGAAAACCACACATAGAACACCCTGTGAACCTATCACATATCAATGAACAAGTGAAGATTTAATTTTGCACAGGAAAATGTTTATATAGGACTAAGCAGAAAATACTGGATATATGAATAACTAAGCATCCACATTTTTCAGGAGTGAAAAAATAAAAAAATAAAAAATTGTAGACCTCTGTGGTGCGGAAGCGTTTAGATTCTTGTAATAAGAATTATATTGGAATAATTTTGCTTTGTATTGATATATGATTGATTCATTAAAAAGTGTACAATACTCCTATATTTATAGGCCAAATTATCCATAATCCTATTAATAAAAGGAAATTAAAATAAGGAAACTA